GGGGGACTCAGTTGGTCTCCCCATCTCCCTCTTTTCTTTTTTGTCCTCTGACAGGATGAGAAAAGGCAAGCGTGCCATGTTTGGAGGATAAGGCCTCTGCCATGCAGGTCTGTGGACCCTGGCCCCTCCTATGGATTCCTATTTGGTTTCCTCTATTTCTTAGATGGTCCCCCAGGGCCCTGATAGAAACCACCTGATCACTGGTGTCATTAGGTCTGGGCGCCCTCCAGCTCCTGATGGACAACTGGCTTGGGTGCAAGGCCCAGAAGTCTGGCCCCAGGGCTGCCTGTCATTTCGTCAGTCCTGAGAGTGGGTTTTCACACAGCATCCCCAGGGCTGCGCACACACACTCCTGCAGCATGCAGGCAGTAAAGCGACAGGCAACCAAAATAGGGTAGGAGGCAAAGAGGCGAGGAATACCAAATCTGTGACATCTTCCCCCAAGGAAAAGCAGCCGTCTCCAATGTCTCCATCAATCACCATTTATCTCCTTTCAAACGGAACCACGGCTGAGCCTCTTTATCTTCATGACACCGTTCAGTCTGCACAGCATTATCTGTCTGACAGGGAGGTGGCCCTGCTCCCTGGCTTTAGAGAGGAAGGGAAGAAGGAGCGCTTGAGGAAGAGTCTAGGAGAGGAAAGTGAATGAACCAGTAAGTGCTTATTGAGCATCTGCCGTAGGCAAAGCCTGTGCTAAATAGAACATGGGGGGCAGACAGGAGGAGTGGGCTGCGGAACACACGTGGAGAGATGAGAGATAGAAACGGGAAGCGACTCACACACGCCGTGATGCACTTAGATGTTCCACTGCCTGACTTAAGCAGGCCTGGTGACCAGTACGTGTGGTGACAGGGAGGGCAGGGATGGCTGCAGCAGCTGCTTTCATGCCCCCAGGGTCTCTCGACATTCACCTCTGCCTGCCAAAGGCCACTTACCAGAGCCACCAGGGCCCTACCTGATGGCTTTGTTGTGTCCTTGGGAGCACGCTCAGTCAGAAGTGCAGATGCCTGGGGAAGCAGTCCTCAGAGACAGTACCCCAGCCTCCTGTCCTGGTTGGGATGCCTCTGAGGCAAGTTCTACATCGTCCCCCAGAGCTTCCCAGCAGGATGGAGCTCCCGTTGCCCCCAGTGATTCAGTGGCATGATAATACTTCCTTCCCTGACCTGCCTTACTACCCTCCCCTAATGATACTTCCCGGATCACCTCCCAAATAAATGACTTGCACTCAGATCCTTGTTTTTGAAGCTGCTTCTGGGGCCACAACTTAAACGAAGGCCATGGCCTTTCTTAGTACTACACTTGGACCTTGACAGAAGAAACTTAAATGGACTAACATACAGTCTACGTATTTGCTCACGTACATTGGAAATTATCTTAATTAAGACCCCTTTGGGCT